AGAGATGAGAGTCAGGATACAGGCGGATGATACAGATATAATTAAATTGCCTATTTGCTATTGAATGTTTGATAGTGCCCAAAAAATAGCAGTAAAAAAATCCTCTGACAGAGTCAAACAGTAATATCCCAACCATTTTTTGGGGGGTGTTACCCAACCTGCTGCCTCTGAGTGCAGCTCTGAGCATCCCCATGGATCCCAGAGTCCACACGGCTGGACCTCATGGGCACCTGGAGGGGGGAAGGACAGCTCAAACCTTCCCCTGCACGGGCAGGGATGTCCACAGTGAAGTTCTGCTACTCAAAGGTTGATGAGAAAAGGTGGAAAAGGGGATGGAGAGGTGATCCAAACCCTGGAGATGAAGCTGTGTCAGGCTGCTCTTACAACTGGGCAGAAATAAAACCCTGTTTGATGAGCAAGGCTGTTTGATTGAAGCCAGAAGTTTGCACATAAAAGGATGGATTGTGAGGAATTTCAGAACTCTAAAAAGGCAAGAAAAAAATGTTTAATGTGCTAAAAGGGGGAATGTGGGCAATTACAGAGCCTTTTCTTCTATGATTTAAACAAAATGAATTAAAAAAAATATTGAGACGCTGCATCTTGATTGACCTGATAGCATCTCTCCCCACCAAATCCTTAATTTCAGTCTGCAGAAATCATCAGAACAACCCTCTGATTCTCACATATCCATGGGACAGTACAAGCCTTTTCCCTTGCAGAACTACGAAGAAACTCATCTCGGCGTCTTCCTTCCAGCTCCAGCAGTTTATTGGCTCCCTCTCCAGTCCTGGAACACACAAACCCTGGAGCCTCTGACCTTGCCTGGTGATGCCTTTAGTCCCAGTATTTTACCCAAGACCACCTTCAAACCGAACCATGGGGTTGTTTTGATTGAAAAAACGTGCTTTCTACCTTGCTCTGCAGAGCTGCCCTTTGATTTTCAAGCTCTTGAACACAGTTGTATTGGGGCTCCCTGAGCTGGGCCAAGGTGGGGAAATGATTTAATTGTCAAAGCAAGCACAGGCTCGTTGTCTGGCAGGGCACCGGCACGGGCTTCAGCACATTAGCAGGGCTGCACAGATTAGGTTTTGCTTTTGACGTTGGTCCCTTGGCTTTTGTCCTTTGGGTGGCATCGTTTGCACGGGAAGGAAGCAGGAGGCAAACTGTGAGGAGGCCAAGATGGAGGGAGATGTCCTTTAGGCAGCAAATTCCACTCTGCGTGTCCCCAGCAGTTCGGCACCGAGATACCAAAGCCAGCGTGGGGATGTCTCAGAGAAGGATCCCCTCCTGAGCTGGCTGCTGGGGAGGAGGGCTGAGCTTCAACCCATGCTCAGAGTTCCTCTGAGTGTCAGCAGGAAATTAAGGTGAATTGGTTGGAGCTTGATGTGTGCTGGCCAAGGTGAGCAGCAGTGGCGGGGTTTTCATGTGGCTTTAACACGGAGATTTTTCTGAATCTTATTTTTCTCCAATTTTTGCATGGGCTGCTCTGCTTTTTCTTCTCTGTATCTCTTTAGGGTATAAATGGAGTTTCATTTCAGGTGAAAGGCCACCAATGTTCATGTCAAGCTTTAGAAAGAACCTCTAGCCTGTCTCTTCTCCTGCTTTATCTCCCTGCCACAGTGGCATCCCAAACTTTTTCTCATAGCCACCTAAAGCTAGGAAATACAACTCAAATTTGTGACTCAGAACATACGTATATCTCAAAGCACAGCAGATACTACAAATAACTCTGAGAGTTTTCAGGACTGTGTGGGTGTTTGTGTCAACCCCTTGGTAAGGATGGCTGTACAGCACCGTATCTCACCTACTTTTTTTGTTATGTGTTATGTATCTTATGCTAAGTATTAATTTATATGTATGATATATATTTTATACACACAGATGTGGATCAACTTCATCTGGGGGGCCCCAGTGATCCAGAGTTGTTACTGGCAGAGGATGGAGGGAGCCCTGTTGTGGGAAGTTCAGTTCCACACACAAGGGTCAGTGGTGTGTTGCACTTGCAGATTTGGGGTTGTAAGAAGAATCCCAGCTTTCTGGAAACCCAAGGCTAATGATGAGTCTTAAATTCACATGACTGGTGGAAAGAATAGCCCTGTGGGAACCTTTCCCCCACTAGAAGAGAATTCCACATAATTAGCCCATCTCCTATTCAGACAAAAATCCTATGGGAAAAGGTTGGCTTTTGGCCTGAATAAAAAATGGTAAAATCCATACTGAGAAAAATGATGGTTGGCATATAATGGTATGTCTGCAGTGACATACCCATGCAAATACTGTTCTTTCTTCTGGCTTAATTAGTGCCATGTGTTAAAGAGATAAATTTTCTCTCTCTACGTTAAGCAAAAAGTTCTCCTATCAGGCTCTCGAAGCCCAGGTATTTGTCTGAATGATAAAGACCACATTTTTGCACAAATTCAGCTGTTTAAAATGCAACACTTACAGGATGGAGCACTGTTTTGGTTGAACTGTACAGCACAGAGCAGAATAACACAGATTTTGGTTGAGATTCCCATGGCTTCACGTAATTATTATTTTAGACTTGGGGGGAAGCGTTCCTCAAATAAAAATGATCAGGGATCAGGTAAATTCTGTCTTTTCCCTGTGGAAGTCTCACTTGTCCCTATCAGGTATCTCAAGACTTATATTCCAGGATTTCTACAGGATACATGCATAGAAAATTTCCACATCAAGCCATCCTCTGAGCTAAAACATGTCTTCCTGAAAGATGTCTGAGTGTTCGTTTACAGCCTTCAGGTGACAGAGAATCCATCAGGTACCCAGGTGCTTTCTCCTACTACATGATTACCTTCACTCAAACCCACACACCATATCTGTAGCTTGAAGTTGTGCAGGATCCAAAGCTGCTCTTGGCATGTCACCAGTCCTAATTCTACTGAATAAAGGAGCCCCCTTCCACCAGATATCACATATCCCTCCACCAAGCAGATCAAGTTGCCCCTTAACATCTTAAAGAATGGATCCAGACTGAGCCTCTCTAGTCTCCTGCCACAAAGCCCGGCTTCTGGAGCTAACATAATTCTTGTCACTGGTCCTCTGAGAAGGGCTTTGCTAATGCTGTACATGAAAATAATACAACCTTTCTTCTTCTGCTTGATATTCCCCCCCTTGTATCTGCAAGGATCACATTTGCTGCTGTATTTACAGCACCACACAGAGTTTGCATTCAGTGGGCTGTGTACAATCCCTCCTCAGTCCCCGACACCGTTGCTGTTTGGCAGAAGACATTTGCCTGCTGTTTATATTGGATGTGCGTTCTTCCTCGCTGGACATATGACTTTGCATTTGACTTCACTGTTTGAACAAGCCCTTTTTACCAAACACCCCGAGTCAGGCAGCACAACTGTCTCATTACCAGCATGAATTGCTATTCTGACCTCTTTGGGGTCATTGGCACTTTTTAGCGGCAGGGATTATATATTTTCTTTCACATCTTTGATAAACATACTCAACAGTACTGAGCAAAAAAAAAAAAAATCTCATTTCGAGTCTATAAGAACACCCACTGCATACTAATATCTCACCAATCTTTATTTTCTAAAATATCTTCTTACTGGTTTTTAGTCCACTGAATATGGGCTGCATTGATATTTTCAGTATTACTTAATCAAAATAGGGCTAAATGTGAATTATAGAAATCTGTTTCATCAGTGGTTGCTTCTATCAACCATGTCCCTGTAATTTCATGTAATTATTATTTTTATTTTGAAATAGTTCCTCTTGATCCTTGTTAGCAATTTCTTTTAGCTTAAGCAATAAGATTTTTTTGAAATTTCAGGTATGTTGTTGCCCAGGACCACATTTTTCTGGCACTTATGAAATGGAATAGCAATGTGATCATTTGCATCTAGAAAGCCATAATTTTCTAGCCTGCTACCCAACTCGTTATGGTCTACAAAAACAAGGTCTGACGTAGAAATAACCCAAGCTGATTTCAATTATTTTTGCACTTAAAAACTTCTGTACAGCTTTTAGAAACCCCAGGGATGCTTCTCCAGCAGTAGCACAAGACCTTCGGCATCTGCTCCCCAACCTCAAATCTCCTATCAGACATAAAGGATGGATCCTGCCTCTGCACTCCAAGAAGGGATATTAGAGGAGCTGATCTTTCTATTCTCCTTTTTTCAGTGGTCTGCAGTGGACACTTCACCCTCGCAGGACTCCTCCCCACCCCAAGTGAGTTGCTGTTTTCATAAGGGATCTTCAGGCATTTCGAGCTTTACCCAAACCGTCAGTATTTATGGCATGTCAGACTGCCTTTGATGGAGATTGCCCTTCCTCCCTTTCTCTCTCCCTCCCTCCTTCCCTCTTGTCTTGCCTGAGCAGGCTGTAGCAGTGATTTTAGCATCCCCATCATCTGTATCATAGCATGGATGCTTGGTAATATCCATCATCTCACAGGAACATTTCCCGTTCCTCAGACCTGGTATCAATCTAAACGTCGGGTACTCTAATATCTTGATTAACTGCCTGTATTTTTGTTGACTTCTGTGCCTGGCTGTGGCTGCCTGGCTGTCTCTCCTCCCTGGCCAGAGGAGATGGAAGCGCTGCAGCGGCCGCAGGCTCGAATCCCGGGGCTGAGCGGCAGCGGACAAACACGGCCAGGACCGACGCCGGGGGACTGCGGGGCGGGAGCGTGACAAGGGAAGTCCAGAGGGCAGAACCCCGCTGTCCGAGGGGGACAGCCCCCAGGGATGGGGGACAGCCCCCAGGGATGAGGGCCAGGTCGGGGAGGCCCGGGCGGTCCCCGCCCGCGGCGCGTTCAGCACCACCGGCCGCGGACAGCGCCCGGCCCCGGGCTCCGGAGCGGGGCTGCACCCCGAGCACACCCCGAGCACACCCCGAGCACACCCCGAGCACACCCCGAGCACACCCCGAGCGCACCCCGAGCACACCCCGATCCCCCTTCAGCCCCCCCATCCCCACCGCGGGGTACAGCCCCTCGCCTCCCCCCCCGCCCCGCCGCCGCGGGCACTGACCGAACATCTGGATGTGGCCCTTGGTGATGGGGTTGAAGCTGCCGCAGGCCAGAAGGATAACGTGGGTCTTGGTGGTCTCGGTCATGGTGCGGCCCTGCCCGGCCCCGCCGCGGTCTGTGGCTCGGTGCGGCTGCGGGAAGGAGGAGGGAGGAGGGATGGAGCGGGGCCGGGCGGGAGCGGGGGCGGCGCCGCGGCTGCGGGAGCGGGGACGGGGCCGCCCCTCGCCACGCACGGCCCGGGGCGCGCCCCCCGCGGAGTCCTGAGCACACGGGTGGGCGTGTAAACACACGTATGTGCGTGTGCACACATGTGCGCACCCCCGCGGGCACACATCCAGCCCCGAGGGCGCAGACAGGGGCACCCGCCCTGGCACAGATGTGCCAACGCTCACATCCACGTATGGACACACATCCACGTATGGGCACACATCCACATCCCCTCTGTACGCACACGCGCACACATGTGCACACACACTCACACAGAGAGGCAGCAGTGACACACTGGCATCCCCAGGACTGAGACGTAACCGGAGGCTTAACCTGGAGAAGAAGAGGCTCAGGAGTGACCTTGTTGCTCTCTACAGCTCCCTGAAAGGAGGCTGCAGCCAGGTGGGGGCCGGGCTCTGCTCACAGGAAACCAGCAATAGGACAAGAGGACATCGTCTTAAGCTGCAAGAGGGGAGGTTTAGGTTGGACATCAGGAAAAATTTCTTCACAGAAAAGTTGATTAGACATTGGAATGAGCTGCCCAGGGAGGTGGTGGAGTCATTGTCCCTGCAGGTGTTTAAGGAAAGAATTAATGTGGCACTCAGTGCTCTGTTCTAGTGACAAGGTGGTGATTGGTCACAAGTTGGACTCGATGATATCAGGATTCTTTTCCAACCTAAATGATTCTGCGATATGCAGGACTCAGCGTTCATGAGCAGCTGTGCTCTGTGTGTTCCCCCACTCCCGCTCAGGAGACCCCAATCCCAGCCCAGGATCCACACGGGCCTCCCAGCTGCCCCAGTGCAGCATTGCTGCAACACCCTTTTCTGGGGCCCCATGGGGAAACTGGCTTGGGGGGCTTCGGCTGCACCCAACACCTCCATTTCACTGCCTGAAGGAAGCCAATATAAAACAGGTGCAGTGTGTCCACCAAAAAACATTCTTCATGGTAAGGTAAAACCAGTACCAGACTGCCTGACTAATTCTCTTCATTTCTTACTTGTAGGACTGAAGCACTGCTGTTCTCTGCTGAAGAAGCTCCTCATCCCAAGCAAGGGCCAACAGAGCCCTCTCTGCTCACAGCCACTGAAGGAGAGCTGGTAGGCAGCTGCCTTCAACCCCTCCCAAAGGCTGTCCTGGCCAGTTGCTTCTCTGACTCCTACACACCACAGCCTTTCCTTCCAGCAAGGAGTGATTTGCCACCAATAGGTTTCCTTTTCTTTTTTCATCTCTCTTTCTCCTTCTGTCCTGAAGAGGTACAGACTCCATAGGCACTGTTCCCTCATCTCTGCCTTCCCTTGGCAGTGTCTTAGCCCTGCCTGCAGGAACAGGATGTATTTCTCCCTGTCCTGGTAAGATTAATTATTTCCAGTCCTTTGCTTGAAAACTTTTGCCCTGCCAACTCAGCCAGGTGTTGGGATGCTCGTTGGTCCTATCCTTGAGCGATCCATTACTTGCTCCCTGTCTTGCCCCCTCAGATCCATCCAGATCCCCAGGGAGGTGTAGGATATATTAACAGAGTGATCCTCTTTGGTATCAAGCTGGCTCGAAACCCACTGGTGTTTCATAAAATCCTAGTAGGGTTTGTAGTTCAAGGGACCTTAAAGATCATCTAGTTCCATCCCCTGCCATGGGCAAGAACACCTTCCACTGGACCAGGTTCCTCCAAGCCCCATCCAACCTGGCCCTGAACATTGCCAGGGAGAGTTTGAGAGCTCATAGCCCCCTTTGAATAGGCTTTGCAAGTTGGGGATCAGGAGGGAAGCAGGCAGAGCTGCCAGAATTTAAACAAACCATTAAAAACTCCAAGCATACAGCCCTTTCAGTGTGAAAAGAAGAAAATAGTTTACATGCATTAGCCAGAGGTTCTTACATCCAGGGAAAAAAACAAACACAAACTAAAATTACCAGGAGAATATTCTAAAGTAGGAGAAAAAAGGTGTTAAGTGTGTAAATGTCTGTCTACAGACAAAAGTCCTTCAAGGAATCTTGTTCTCTCACCAGCAGAAAACCAGGTGAGGAGTTTGCTGCTGCAAACACAAAATTATTTGGGTTCTCAGAGGTTCACTCTCAGTGCTAGTCTCAAAGCCCACGACAACAGGCAGGTAGGTGACACAGATGAGGCAGATCAGCTGGAAGACAGGCTGGACTGGGGTGTGAGATGTCCTAAAAACATTAGTGTCATCTTTGCTTGCTGGGCTGAGCTGCGAGAAAGGCCGGGGTGGCAGATCCATCTCTTTCCATCAGTTGCATGGGGAAAGGGCAATAAATAAATGTATAAACAACACCAAGTCAGTAAAGGTACAGTACTCTACCTTCTTACTTGCTCTGTGCAGACATCTATTGATTCAGTTGGATTAGACTTTGGGGTTGTGTTGATTTTCTTCCTGTGCTGCTTCTACAAGCTTACCCTGAAAGGGAAGAGACTCACTGCCTTAGTGGCTCTCTGCAGTTTATTATCAGTGCTCTGCCTTTTAAACACAGGTCTTCTCAGCAGGGAACATGGTGCTTCTCTTCTGCACTTTCCTACTTAAGCTGGTGTTCTACCCCCTTCCCTCGGGATGAAATGTGGGGGGTTGCCCTTTACAAGAAGACTCTTCACTGAGTCCTTTTATACAGAAGAGGCTGAAGTTCAGGTGAGAAAGTTGAATTTTTTGTTAGTCCCACCCCCACTCCTTGTTAATTTTGCATAGGAAATGTTGCAGGGTGGCATCTTTTCCCTTCAGCCTTCCCCAAGTTGCACCACTTGCAGCCATAGGAGCATTAGGTGCTGCTGTTGCAGGAAAAGGCACAAACGGAGAAAATTGCCCATGACTGAGTTCTCCCACTGCCTGGTGATCTGAAGCACAACCCACCGGGCCCACCAGCTCCTGCCATGCAGCCGAATCTCTGCCTGCTCCGTTTCACGCTGGAGTTTGATCTTAAGCGCCAGTGGAAGGTCAAGGAGGCCTGTGCAGGTGTGGGATATGTGCTGCCCATGAAGTCTGGCCAGCACTGCCTGTACCTCTTCCTCGGCTTTCCTGCTGCTGCCGGATGGGTGAGTGATGTAGTAAATCAGCTGTCACTTAGCAACGTACCGGCTGGGGAGCCGCGGTGGGGTTTGGTGCGGGAGTGATGCCTGCAAGGCTGTGCAGGGGAGGTTATTTCACCTTTTTTCCCCTCAATGTTTTCCAACCCGGCCTCTATTTTCTTTTCCTTGCTGCTTTCCCTGATAGGTGGGTGCAAATTTCCTATGGGTGAAGGCAACTCCCCCAGCTGCAGGATCCAGGTGTTCCCTGCCAGCCCTCCCTGGGATTGCTGTGCAGCGTCAGAGCACCCCAAGAGCTCCTGCCAATCTGGGCTCCAACCCAGCCCATGGTGGCAAGCAGCCATCTGCCATCTGCAGAGCTGTTACAGTGGGACAGAGAGAGGGCAGAAGGATGATTAGCTTGGGTTTATTCTCTCAGGAAGAAAAATGGAGAAACACAGTGACTTGCTTACCCTGACACAGGGAGCTCACATCAGCACTGCAAAATCCTTGCCTGTAGGACTTGAGAAGTGAGGCTAGACCTGTTAAGCACACCTGAAACATCACCTGTGATTCAGACCGATGGTATTTCTGCACATGGATCTGTCTGGTTCTTCCACCTCTGGACAGTTGGGCCCCACAAGCAGTGGGGCTGTCCAGCAGTGGGTCATGGCTGTGTTTGCTGGGGTGAGGGATGGAGACGACTCGGTTCTCCTGGCACTGCCCCTCACCTTGTCCATCCTCTTGGGCTTGGGAAGAGGAAGGGAAACCTTCCAGCTTAATGCTTTTCAAACTGGCAGTCTGCAAACTCTTTAAAAAAACCCAAATATGTTAGAGAAAAGGGCAATTAGAGGGGCTTAAATGAGTTGTGAATCTGCCCTGGCACATTTCAGAGCCTTTTCTGTACAGGGCTAAGAAGTGGGTTCAGTTCTACTCCCCACATGCCAGTCATGTATCTCTAAGAAATATTTGTAATGCAACAATGCACTTAAAAACAAAAACAAAAACAAAAACAAACAAACAAAAAAACAACCATTCCAAAAACAACAAAAAAACCCCCCCATACCCAAAAAACCAAAGGTCTTTCCTTGAGAACTAAGGAGCAAAAGATCTTGAATTAGGGAACTGCTCACTTGGTGGCCCAGTTGGAATAAAACCCCTGGTTCCCACAAAAGCAGATTTTTAATTTACACCCATTTTTGAGATGTGACCTGAATGTATCTAACCAAAACTCAGGGCTGCAAATTCAGCCCCTGGGAGGTAAAGGAAGTCAGCCTGAACTGGCAGATTGGGCCAGGCTGAACTGGCCCAGCTGAACCAGTTTGCTCATGGAGGAATGGCACAGGACAGTAACTGGAAGCACTGGAGGCAGCTGCTGTGGTGTGAGCCTGGTTGAGCTGGAGGGAGCTGCCAAACCCTGAGGCCACATGGGATGAGACAGCCTGTCCCAAAGGGAGAAATCTTCTATTTTTGATGATCCAAGGCAGGAGCAGACACTCAAACAAGGAAGAAGTAAGCAAGGCTGAGGAGCAGCTGAAAGAGGTGGCCTATAACCAGGGTCTGAAAATTCCTGATTAGCCTGGAGAGTTTTTCTCAGGGCTTCATCACATCCTGGAAGAAGATGCCAAATGGTGCCATGGGATAAAGTTCCTGGAGATGTGTTGAGGTTGTGGACCCAACACCCTGGTGTTGTGGCCTCTGCAAACTGATCCCAAGTTCTGTGCAGTGCTTCTGGGACGCTGGACTGACATTTCAAGGTGCTTCCTGGGGAAGGGCAGCTTGGTAGCAGATTTCTCTCTTGCCCCTATTCAGCAGCTGAATGCTGGCCACAGACACAATTAGCTCTGCAGACCTTTCAGTGTCTGTGATGCTGAGGTTACAGCTCAGCCGTGCAGGACGGATCGACCCGCCCAGCTGGGATCTGAGCTGGGCTGTGCACCATGAGGCTGTGAGGCAGAGGCACTTGGCCTGGATCCCCAGGAACAGCTCCTTGCTCTCTCCCTTCCACGAGGGGTTTAGCTTACTTAGGGTGAAAGGGTACTTCTTTTCAGATTGTGCAGCACTTATTTTCACAGAATTAAAAGGAAATCCATTAGATACTTTATGAATTATAAGAATTAAAAGGGATTTCTTTAAGAAGCAAGGCCTATTTTATTATTTTTCTTTGTTCTGAGTGATATTTGCAAGGGAATAATGAAACCTTTACACAGTTGAAATTCTGGAAGTTTTGCATATGGGCTATATTTGGGGAAAGGAGGTTATAATTAGGGTAAGATGAGGCTTTTGTCACTAACAATTAAAAATCTAAGTAGTATAATCTAGGATGACAACAAATACACTTTAATCATGATAACATAATTACTGATCAGGATGAATAGAGGGCAAAATTAAGATTGTTTAGGTATATTCATACTTTGCTTCTTCCTTCACATTCTTCAATTACTTTTGAGTGCTAATTTCCCACATTCACAACATTTGGATTGAAATAATCACTGAACCTGCAGAGAATCTTGTGTTTCATCATTCAGCTATTGTGTTGTTCTCTCTTCTTTCCTTGATCCCAGGTTTTCACCCTCAGCAGCAGGAAAATGGGATGCCTCAAAGACACAAAAGCCAGGGTTTGGCACAGAGACAGAGGGATGTCCAGTGGCCACATCTGTACGTGAAAACAAGGGGAGAATTTATGCACACAAAAAGGAGACCTCTGTGAGCTTCACAGGATATTCCTGGACAATTAAATATGTCAGTGTTAATGAAGAAAGATGGGAGCAGGCTCTGATGAGGTCCACCCCTCCATTCTTGTCTTAAACGACCTTGAGGAAATCTCTTCTGCTCCTCTGACTATCTGTTAAGTGGGAGTGGTCCTTGCTTTCCTCTCAGAGCAGGCTAAATCAGTGTTTTGAGGATAAACACATCCAAGGTCTGTGAAATGCTGAGTTTGTATGGTGACAGAGGCTATCAAATGATGTAAAAACAGATTTGGGATTATGAGGCTTTCCCTCTGGAGACCAGGGCAGCTTCACTCCTGGGAATTTTGGCTGCATTGCTGGCTGAGGGCAGGGGTTTATTTACTGGGTTAACAATGTCTCTGGTCTACCCACCTCCTCTGGGGACCAAATCCTTCCAGATGCTGTGTAATTAATAAAATGGTAGGTTGCAGTTCATAACCTATTAATGACAAAAAAGATACTATGAGTTGATCTCTATGAGAAGTCTACTTCTTTGAAGAGAAGACTTATTACAAATCTCATGGAACAAAATTAAGGGGAGATTGACTTGGGGCTCCCCCTTAAATTGAAGTTACCTTCCTTGCCATGTGCAACAAAAGGTTTGAAATAGAATTTCATAAGAAACAGAGCAGAGCAATCAGCAGCAATGTCAAGCCCTCAAAAATGTTGTGTGGGGGAAACTGAGGCCAAAACTGGAAGTGCAGGGACATTGAAGAACTCTCCAAGAGGCAAGAAGGGAGTGCAGGGGAGAGAAACTTGTAGGCACACTATCCTAATGGACAGATTTATTCCAACAGTGAAGAAACTCAGAAGGAAGCAAAGCACACTACAATTCAGAGGAAAAGCCCTGAAAAACAAGGAAAAGACTGCAAAGGTTCTGGCATCCTTTGCTCCTGTGTCTGGAAGATATTCAAGAGGAGTGAGAAAAGGCAAAGGAAGGCTTTGTGGACAGGCAGGTTGCCCTGATGTGCCACAGTTTTCCTCATACATCTGCCCCAAGGTATGGCTCTGCTTGGAAATTCATATTGGCATTGAACAGCTTAAATAACACCGGCAACAACACCCATCAGATTCTCTTGAAAATACCCAGGGCTGCTTGCTACCTGCTGTCCAAGACTCAGAACTCAGCTCTACCCCACGTGAACCTCTCAGGTCTTTTGGGGTGGCTGTGGAAGTGGATTGGATTCAGACAAGACCAAACAAGACAGTCACTGAGTCCACTCTGCCAAAGAGAAACTGCAGAAAGCTGGAAAATGTCACTTCCTCTCCAGCCAAAATACCCCCAAACCAGGCTTCTGCCTTCAAATTTGCCCTGTCCTGTCCACATGCAAACACCAAAGTCATGGGGAGGCAGCCCTGGAAACTCCTATTTGCACAGATCCAACCTGTCGAGCTCAGAAGGGCACTCACAGTTGCACAGAACAACAGCCCAGTGACTTTGTCTAAGGTCCACCACTGTGCTAAAGTGGACTGCAAAATAAAGAATCACTTTTTATTTTAAGTGATAACAGTGCAGGTGAACAACTTATTTTATTTCAAGCATTTTATTTTAAGCAATAACATTGCTGCCCTGGGGAAATGAGCCAGAGTGCTCTTCACACTTTGGTGATTACCTTATAGTCAGGCTGTATGTTATCTTTCTGCCTGGGAGAAAGCCCCTGGAGGTGATCCTCTCCAGCAGAAAAAAGTGGAAAACCAACAATTTGTTTGTCCAAGGCCAAAAGGAGGGAGGGGGAGGCCCTGGAATAATCTCTGGGAGAAGAGTGATGGAGGAAAACTGACAGAAAAATTCCAAATAGCTCTGTGGGAGGCAGGGAAGCATTCCTGTCTGTTTTGGCTTTTGCTGCTTAAGTCAGTGTAGGCTGTTCCCACGGCTGCTGTGGGACACTGTGGAGAATGTGGTTGCAAACAGGGGTTGGGAATGAGGGGTTGGTGAAGGGGAAGTGGCAATGGCTTAAGGTGCTTCTGCTTTCAAAACTTGGGTTATTCAAGTCCTCTGTAAGGAACGAATGGATTGAAAACTATGGGAAGAATAGAGATAAGTTTGAGGTGCATGTGCAGTTATATGCTGCTTGGTGGGTCTCCTCAGAGATCATTGAATCATCATAGGATCCTGGAATGCTTGGAGTTGGAAGGGACTTTAAAGCTCATCTTGTTCCACCTCCTGCCATGGGCAGGGACACCTTCCACTAGCCCAGGTTGCTCCAAGCCCCGTCCAACCTGGCCTTGGACACTTCCAGGGATCCAGGGGCAGCCACAGCTTCTCTGGGCACCCTGTGCCAGGGCCTCCCCACCCTCATAGGGAAGAATTTCTTCTTAATATCCCATCTAGCTCTGCCCTGTGTCAGCAGGAAGCCATTCCCCCTTGTCCTATCACTCCAGGCCCTTGAAAATAATCTCCATCTTTCTTGTAGTACCTTTCCTTCAGGTACTGGAAGGCCACAATTAAGTGCAGGGTGCCCTAAGCTATACCAGGAGCAGAAGGACAAGGCTCCCAGTCACACAGACAATGTGAAGGGCCTGGGGAGAGTCCTGGACAACATACCCTGAGAGATGCAGCTTCTAAGAGCTGCGTTTGTGCACTGATCCAGGAGACACAATCTCAGAGTGCAAACTCAGCCTGTTTTAGCTCAGGACAGGCACCAGGCAGGCAGGAGCAGCCCTAGTTTGTCCACTTCTGAACCAGTTTGCTCTTGCTCTGCAGCTGAGAGCTTGGAGGGATGGAGCTGAGCTCTGGGCCCTGCTGCAGTGCCTGCCTGAGGTGCTGCACAGGATTCCACCAGAGGTTTGGCCATGGCTTCCTGCCCAGCTCTGATTGCACTGAAACCAGGAAATCCATTCTGCAGCCTTGAGAGGCTTCTGTTTGAACACGTGGGGCCCTGAAAATCGTTTCCTTGAACAGGTTCTCGTTTCAACCTGAAAAAATGCAGGGGATTTATTTATGAAACATGATCCTTCATTTTGTCCTCGGGGTCACTTTCAGACTCAAATGACACAACTTGCACTAGCCAGCCTCCTCTGCTTCATTCCTTCAGGCTGGCCCACGTGGTCAAACGGACACTGAACTCGGTCCAAAAAAGACAAGTTGAAGCAAAAAACAAGTCACCAAGTCGGCACGAGAGGTAGCACCACATGGTGTAAATGATGGGAAAAGTGTAAATATTGAGCAGTGATAGAATGATGTATTCAGATGCAAGGTTACTGCTCTGTCCCAGCTCCGTGCTGAGAGGACCCCACCCAGAGCACTGTGTCCAGCTCCAGGTTCCCAACACAGGATAGACCTGTTGGAGCGAGCCCAAACAAGACCACCAAAATTATTTCCTCTACTGTGAGGAAAGGCTATGGGAATTGGGATTGTTTAGCCTGGAAGAAAGAAGCTTCAGGGTGACTTAATTGTGGCCTTCCAGCACCTGAAAGGAGTTGACAAGAAAGATGGAGAGAGACTATTTACAAGGGCCAGGACAAGGGGGAATTGCTTCACACTGACAGAGAGTAGGTTCATGTATTTATTCCTTACTGACGTATTTTTTCCCACATTCTTTCCAGTGTTAATTTCAGCTTGCAGATTATGGAGAATAGAAGTCGGTGTGCGATAATGGCCTTATCAAAGATAAGTTTATTTTCTTTCCTTCCCCCCCTCATTTGTTGTGTGCTTCAGCAATACTGTTGACAGCTGGACTTGATGACCTTAAAAGTCTCTTCTAACACTGATGATTCTGTGAGTCTCTGTGGGAAGTTCAGGCCTACAAGTGTTGTTTCAGCTACAACATTTCAGGTCAGAAGAGTGTGAGGCCACTGCTGCCCTTGTGCTGAGGGACTGAGCCGGCAGCATGCTCGGGGGCCAAGAAGGCCAACAGAACCCTGGGGTGCATCAGGAAGAGCACTGCCAGCAGGTCAGGGAGGGGATCCTGCCCCTCTGTCCAGCCCTGTGAGGCACATCTGCAGTGCTGGGGCCAGCTCTGGGCTCCTCAGGACAGGAGGGACAAGAGCTCCTGGAGCGGGTCCAGCAGAGGCTGTGAGGATGCTGAAGGGATGGAGCATCTCTGGGTGCAGGAAAGGCTGAGGGAGCTGGGGCTGCTCAGCCTCGAAAAGAGACACTGAGAAGGGACCTCATCCAGGTCTGTCGGGGTCTGCAGGAAGGGGCAGAGGATGGCCCAGGCCCTGCTCAGTGCGCCCAGCAATGGGACAAGAGGCAGTGGGCAGGAACTGATGCCCAGGAAGTTCCATCTGGACATGAGGAAGAACTTTGCTGTGCAGTGACCCAACACTGGAACAGAGACAGAGAGGGTGTGGAGTCTCCCTCACCGGAGATATTCCAGTACTGCCTGAACACAATCCTGTGCCGTGTGCTCTGGGATGACCCTGCTGGAGCAGGGAGGTGGGACCAGATGAGCCTCTGTAGTCCCTTCCAGCCTGACCCATTCTGGGGTTCTGTGACTGGGGCTCCCCGCCGGCGCCGTGGGCAGCCGCCTCTCGGCAAGGCGCCCTTCCGAGGGCCGTGACAGGGATGTGACAAAGCGGGGCGTCGCTGCGCGGGGCCCGGGGCGGGACGAGCTGCGGACGCAGGGATGCAGGCCCCGGGATGCGCCGCGGTTGCCATGGCTACGCCGCACCGCCCCCTCGGTTGCCATGGCAGCGGGCGGGGGACGGGTTTGCCGGTGGCGCCGCCGGAAGTGCCGGCGGGGGTGGGGTCCGGCCCGGAAGCGCGGCCGGCGCGGCGGGAGGGCCGCGGCGCCTCAGCGGGGCGGGAGAGCGGCCGGCGGGGGCTGCCGGGCCCGCGGCGGAGCCGGAGCGGCGGGGCCGGGGCTGCCCGGGCCGCTGAGGGGCCGGAGCGGCGGGGCCGGCGCGGCGCGGGCCGTCCTGCCCGGCCGGAGCGCAGAGCGGGGACACCCCGCCCCTTCCTCCCCGCGGGCCCTGCACGGGAAGATGGCGGCGGCGGGAGGCGGCGGCGGCGGCGGCGCGGGGGCGGCGGGCCGGCCCGGGCTGTGAGAGCCGCGGCGGGACGGGCGGCGAGCGGCGGAGGATGAGCCTGCTGTGCGCGCAGTATCTCCGGTGAGCGTCTCCGCGGCGCGGCGGCGGCGAGGCCGCGGCAGGGGGGCCCCGGGGGCGGCGGCGAGCGGACGGACGTGGAATCCTGAGGCCTCGCAGCGGCGGCGGCGAGCGCGGGGCGAGCGGGACGTGTCCGGGGCGGGGAGCGGGACCCGGCCGCCGCGTTCCCCAGCCCCGCGGGCGGGCGGACTCGGCTGCCGCATGGCCGAGGGCTCCCCAGCAAGGTCACGCCGGGGCCGCGGGGAGGGCAAGAGAGCCCCCCGGCTTCCCCGCCTGGATTCTCCAGCCCTTCTCCAGGAGGTGCCGGGATGAGCCGCCGCTGCGGAGCGACCGCGCGGTTTGACCCCGGCGGTGGAGCGGGACCGGCGCTCGCAGCCCCGGGAGTGCTGTGGGAGAGCGGGAGCAGCAGGAGCCGTGTCTGAGCTCTCGCCATCAACTGCGAACCCTCAGTCACGGCTGGCACAGTCTCCGGTGCTGGGGACTGGCAGCTGAGGGCTTGGGAGAGGAGCGAGTCTGGCAGGGCTGTGCTTGGGAACAGAACCGTGCCCAAGTCCCCGAAGCTAGAGCACTGGGCACCTCACGTTGGTATGAGCAGGACTTTGATAGGCTTTGGCATGAACTTACCTTTTGGGTGCATTGGTATCCAAATGCTCTTCCTCTGGTGGTTTTGGAAAGCGGCATCATGAGCTACAAATGGCTTTTCAGCAGCTGTAAAATACCAAATATCCAAGTTGGTGGTGGTGCGTCAGCCCTGACCCTTCCGGAACACCTCATGGAAAAGGAGTAGGAATGCCAAAAGGGTGTGAGTGTTCCTTCTGAAGAGTTCAGGGCTTGGGAAGGATTTAGAAGGAGTGAATTCAAAGCAGTTTTTACATTTTGAAAGTGCTTTCTATCCAGAGTTCTGAAACACTTCAGATGTTTCTCCTCGCTGGTTCTCCAGATCCTTCCCTTCCTCCTGGTCTTGTCTTGTATCTCTGTCTCCTTTGGCTAGTCCAGATCCTGCCTCAAGTATATCTTTTCAAAAAAGGGCAAAAAAGGTAATATTTTTCTCCAATAGCAAGTTTATGAGCTTTTTTCTGTTCCAGATGAGTACACCTCTGCTGTCATAGAAGCTTCTTCATTCTCTCTTTCCCCTTATATTACAGAAAAAGCTTTTAAATGCCTCATTATTAGCAATCCTCTACCAGTAGAAGACTTGCTTCTATATTGTACTGTTTGTCTTAATAATATTGTAACATCTGGCTCCCCATGGCTGTGAGTCTTTGGCTGCTTTGAGTCATGGCAAGGCTGTACCTCTGAACTCACACATGTCCCTGCCCCTGTTACCTCCCTGCACCACCAGACTCTTTCTTAGTGTTCTATATTCCACTACACCAAGCTGGAGATCCTCCCTACCTGCAAACACGTGGGCAATAATCCCCTGTTTCTCCTTGCTTTGTGCTTCCAATACTTCAGC